TCACTAATAATGTGTTTTTCTCTTACTTGCAGAAAATGAAGAATTAATAAATAAGAGTTTAAAAGAACTCAAACTCCCTCATTTTTTAACCTTTTATTGAAGCCTAAGGTTAAGCCAAGCAGCTTGTAGAAGGCTAAGAAATAAAGAACTAATAAGAAAAAAAATCAAGACAAAATTATATTCAAGATGACTAGCCTCAAAGAAATGATATTATTTCCCAATTTTGAAAGCAAAATCTAACATATGGTATATGAAAATAGACTATATCGATAAGGTGGAGCTATCTGGAGTTGTAGATTTTGAAGATACCAACCGGGTAACTAACTTATTGGCCAATCGGTTGGCAAACCGACTGGTCAACCGATTGATTCATAATTGAACAGTAAATGATTAAGATTTATTTCTTAGAGCCCAAGGCTGACTATTGTTAATTACTGTAGACTATAAATAGGAGTATATGGTGAGGGGTTTGAGTATGAAAAATTTTGTAAGAATTTCATTTGGAGATAAGAGTTACTCTTAATTGTGAAGATCTTCCAAAATCGTAAAGTTTATATGTAATTAATAATAAAAAAATCTCCACATTTTGAATTTTCTTTTCTTCTTCTTTGTTGATGGAAATGAAGATAAATATTTACTTTTAAGGGGTCAACTTCCTGCAATGTAAGTTTTTATTTTTCTCTTTTATTTTATTGCTTTAGAAATATATATTTTAGGATTTTATTTTCTCTTTATTTTTGTGTCGTTAGAGTAGATTTATTTCATGTCTTATACTTTAGATTTTCTTTCACGCCCTTTTATTTTTATTATCTAATTTTATGCTTTGTAGAATTTATTTTCTTACCTTTTTAAAGTATATATTTACTTTTATGCTCTTAGTTTATATCTATATTTCATTATTCTAGTTCTTCTCTTTATTGTTAGCTTTTATTTTTATTCTCTTCCTTTTTTGTTCACTAGTGTAGATTTCATTTCCTTATTTTTTTTCTAAAACGCACAACTAAATATTGTAGAAATTCTAGAATTGTATGAAAGTAGTTTAATTTCTTTTATGATTTTTGGATTGCTCTCTTGTGCTCAAAATGATCATGTTTAGGATAGTCAACTAGAGAACTAATTGATAGAAGAATTTGATAAGCTATTCTTATCTTAAGTGGTTTGATAGTTTATGCTTATGATTTCTAGAATTACTATCTAATTATTATTCTTATCATGAGTGGTAATTTTACTTGGATGATAATTTGATAAGTTATGTTTTCCTTAAGTGGTTTGATAGTCTATGCTTAATAAATCTAAAATAAAATATGATAAAAAAGTAGTTCATAAATTCTTAATGAAGTCAATTAGTGGATTCAATTCTAGATTCCTATCTTATCTACTTGATTTTTCTCCATCTTAGTTACTTTGATTTTACTTCTTTTGATTATTTTCTTATCTTCTTGATTTTATTCTTTTCTATTTTCTTCATTTTCCCCTTTGTTTGTTCTCATTTGCCTTTATTGTCACTCTCTTTCTCACCTCTTTTCTAGTTAAGTTTTATTTGCAAATAATTACACATTCTTTATCTCTCCACACATTCACTCCTAATTACAACTCTAGAATACATGTTAGAATTTTCCTACACACATTCCTCATGGGATCAACATTATACTATATTATAACTTGATTGTGCAATTGCAATTTTGACACATTCACAGCACATTAATAAGCCCTCATATGATGGATGTTTTCTATGAATTGAGTTGTTCGGGCCTAGTGCATAACATTTCATGTATGACTAAGTAGTGAACAAGTTCATGTGGGTTAATTAATGGGAAGGAATTGGACATCTCATATATAATATGTGACCAAAGATTGTGTTTTAGCTCTAGTGCCAGGTGAGTTTATGTAAAAAAACCAAGTAAAGTAAAAATCCAATTAACATTCACGGTATATACACCAAACACATATTTTTTCATGAGAGTGTTTCCAAATAAGATTAAGTAACATATGAGAGTAGTTAGATGCACACACTACCCTATGTATCACATCTAAGGATCTAGATGCGCACTCCCTCTATTGATCTATACTGTTCATTTGTACATCTGTTTATCTGTTAGTTCTATTTTTTTACTTAGATATATATTGCATTTCTTGATCATTAAAAAAAATAAAGTGATACACAGCTATATAGCCTTTCTCATGGTTGAACTAGTCATGCATCCGTGATAAACATTACATGTGCGTAAACCACTTTATTCATTTTATCACTTGCTAGACGGATTCTGATTGTCTTGGTTTTCACAATAGTGGTGAATCCGGACATGTCCTCATTGCTTTTAGACATCCTAAACTTTAGGGACATCCAGTAGGGATAGTGTTTCATTAATCAACTTACATGTCTACTTATCCACTAGTTTCTATTTTAGCTTATGAGTTATCAGTTTTTGTCTTTTTCTGGACTATGTTTAATACCTCCTCTATCATGGAGTGACTCTTGTGTGTCATATTTATTTCAGTTGATACTTTAGACTTGTATGGTCGAGTGGTCTTATATCAATCTGCTATGCAGATGACATTGATATCAGAATATCTATATATGTTATTCAGTTATCTGTGGGACTTGTTGGTTATTTTTGTATGAGTATTATTTGCTTCTGCTCAGTATTTATTGATGCATACTTTCTTTTTTCTATGTACTCCTTTTTTGCCATTATGTATTATTCTGTGATTTTTGTTTTGGTTGTGGTTGTTGAGATGTATGTGCTGATGGCATGCGGCATAGCATACGGTGTCATTGGTATTGGGCTAGGATTTGAACTTTAATCTTATGATGTTATTGGTTGTTTAAGATCGTGATTAGCACTGGAATTAAATCCAAAATTTAGTCCAACTCTATAAATTCTAGTGAGAAAATTCCAAGAAAAAGTCCATGCTAAAATCAAATGATTGTGATCTTCCTCCTATGATTTTCTCTGTTCCATTTCTTTAATGATTCCGCATTTAAAGAAAACACTACTAGTTAGTATCACAAAGCATTCAAGTTAATAGTAAATATTAATATTTAAATATCATATAATTATTTAACAAAATATATTAAATATATTCAGTTTTAACTATTTTTAATTAAATATTTAAAATACTTAATATATAAAATGAAATACGTTTATAATTAATATTATTTACTCATTTTTATACTTAATATATTTAATCATTTAATATATTTCATAAATTATATTTAACTTTAAATATTAAATACATTTATTATTTATCATAACTTAAATATATAAAATTATTTAAATATTTAATTTTAATATTAAAATATATAAGATTTATATTGAATGTTTGACAAAACTTTCCATTAAATTTAACATTTATATATTGAAATAAACAAATTAGTAGTAGAAATTTAATCTTAAATTGTAATTATAAAAATAATAATTAATTAAATAATAATTATGCTTGTAGATAAAAGAATAGTTATGCTTGTTAATATGTCCAAGAATTCAAAAAGTCCAGGACTCTGACCAAAATATCATAGTTCTAATCCGAATCCTAGAATATAGGATTCTTGGACAATAATCCTAGTCTTACCAAACACCAAATGAATAACACCCCAATAGAGAAAAAGTGGAGTAGTAATTTGGAGTTGCTTTATTAAACCTCATTCAATTTTCTAATTGTATAGGGATGTAACATGTTATAGTTTTCATATGAACAATGCAACTTCTAGTTTAAAATTAAGGATTGTGATCTCATTTCCAGAATCTATATTTTCCATTCAATTTAATAATTCTTCTTTCTGAAAAAGTAAAAGGGTTTTTATGCATATATACCCCTGTTATCTTTAATATTTATAAAAGTATCCCTCATATCTTGGTATTTGCAAAATTGCCCCTTAAAACTAGCATATTTGGTCTTTATACCACCCCAATTTAAGAATGATGCTTTTAGACAAGGCGATATCAAAATTTCCAATAATTTCCAATAGATTTGCAATAATTTCCCTTTTAATTGGCAAGAGAAAGAGGTACAAAAGATCAATGTGAGAGATTTTTTGTCCTTTTGTTTTTTTGTTTTTTTTGGGGGGGTTGTTACTTTGCAACTGCCAATAATTGAGGGGTAAGTTTGTAAATATTAAAAATTTGAGGGGTATATATGTAAAACCCCCAAAAGCAAAATAGAAACATATGCGGGTAAATGGCACTAAAATACCGGTAATAAATTTTGTTTTAAAACCCCCAATAAGTTTAAAACTTTTGGTACTTAAACCCCAACTTTGAAAACTAACTTTTTGTGTCGCAAAAGTATGAAAATTACAAACAACTCCTAAAAACAATTAAAAATCACAAAGTTCCCCCTAAGAAATATGAAACTTGCTCCTGAAAAATCTAAAAAACACAAATGATCTCTTAGAATCAAACCCTACAGACAACCCCATAAGACCATTTTGTAATATTTAGAATTTTTTGGAGTTTCTTTGTAAGTTTTAAAATTTTAAGAGGTTAAGTTTTTTATTTTTCTTTTAAGGGCTATTTGGTTCAATTTCTATAAAAAAAGAAAAAAGAAATGTGCTCAAAATTTAATTTCCTTGTATTTCTGTAAAATTTGTAGAACTCAAAGAGTACTATATTTCTTATTTGTTGTTATTTCATTGTTTGGTTCAAAGTATGAAAAAGTACCTAACTTTATAGAAAATATGTTGTTGTTTTTTCTTTTGTTTGGTTGGATATCACTTTATAGAAAATAGAGCACTAATAATGCCCATAAGAAATAATGGGAAATGATACTGGTGTACTTAATTATTTTTTTAATATACGTGCCAGATTTCTAGACAATTTCCTCTCATTTGGAGAGAAAGTTGATTTCAATAAAATACCAAAAATTTCTCTACTTTATAGAAAATATTTCTATAAATTTTTTTAAAACTAAACATAGTTAAGAAAATTTACAAAAAAATATTATTAATAAAAATATGATTGTCACTCGAAACTTTTGTGTAAATTGGGTGAACCAAACACCCCAAGGCCAGGGGAAACTCAGCTAGGCCCATGAGTTCATGACCGTCTACAGTCTACGGAGCACCTTGGTTTCTCCCGCTGAGCTCTTGTTAATGCTTTCCCTGCTGAATTTAGCTGTTCTTCTCCAAAGTCCCAATACAATAAAATGTCAGAAAATCCATTCGAGTTCATGTTCAAAAGCCTAGACTCATTCTCCCGCTGCGCACAAACCCACATCTCCAATTTCTTATCCCCTCTCCAAAATAAACCCTCTCTCAAAGACAAATCCGCTCTACTTAAATCTGTGGACGTCTCTTTAGCCTCCACTTCTTTTACAAAGGCATTCAACTTTTGATTACTTTTTTTTTTCAAAAACTTTTTTTTTGGAGTTTTTATAAGTTAAAATTAGTGTTTTATTTGATGGGTTTTCTATTGCAGGAGAAGTCTGCAACTCCTTTGACTAAAGAAGAGCTTGGGAGGGGCACATGGGCTCTTCTTCACGCAATTGCAGCTCAGGTGTTTGTTCATTTGTCTCAGTGGCGGTGGTGATAATAATAAGAGTAGTAAGGATGAATTGCACTAAACCCCCAAGAACTTTCAGCACTTTCTCAGTAGACCCCAAACTTTAAAAATTGCATATAACAACAATAAGTTTCTGCATTATGCAGATAACACCCATAAATTCGAAGCAAAAAACAACATAAAAGGCATTTTGAAAGTTTTTTTTTGGGGTGGGGGGGTGGGTAGTGTAATTTACCCAAAAGATGTTGTGATTTTTCTGCGAAAGTTATTGGGGGTTTAGCGTGATTTTGAAAGTTGTTGGGGGGTTTTTACCACAAACCGATGAAAGTTCTGGGGGGTTTAGTGTAATTTATCATAGTAATAACTGCTTGTATTTTGGGGGTTTAACATGTTTTCCCCTAATTTTGTTGATTTCTCCAGTATCCTGACCAGCCCACAAGGCAGCAGAAGAGAGATGCCAAAGAACTGGTAATGTGTATGGTTGTGCACTTGTTTCTCATTGTGCTATCAGGTTTATGCAATCATAAATGAGTTAAATTAGATTTTTAGGGACTATTTTTTTCCCCTGTGAATTCTCGAGATAGAGTCGCTTGTTGATTACCAAAATGCAGTAGGCTAGTAAGGAATAAGGATGCATTAATATCTTAAAATGGTCAACTATACAAGTCAATTATCTCTTAAACTTTCATGTTTAACCTGCGGGAAAGGGAATGGGGGACTTTTGAAATAACTTAAGAATTTAGAGGACTATGTGAAAATAGCAAGATTTGACTTTTTTCTCAATAAGAAATATGTTATTGGATATATAAAAAAAAACGTTGGGACATATTTTGTTAAAGCCCCTAATAAAAGGGCATAAAACAATTCGATATAAAAAAACAAAACCATTGGGAATTAATTTCTAAAAAGGTTGACAGAACCTGAGTCAATTATCTCTTAAACTTCATAGATAACCAGCAAGTAATGAACTAGGGGTGTGAGACCGCATCCTTTTTCTCGAAAGAAAAAAAAAGAAGTAATGAACTAGGGGAGTTTTTTGAAATAGCATAAAGATTTGAGAATGGTATATGAAAGTACCGAAATTTGAAGGTTATGAGTCTTATGACATAATAAAGATTTTAGAGGATATTTCAGTGAGGGGAAAATCCAAAAACAAGAGAACATGTTTTAATAAAACCCCCAAATAAAATGAAACACTCCAATAAAACGGAAAAGATTCTCACAGCTGAGTAACATCACTGGGTACTATACTAGTCTGTTCCAATATGTGAAATCTCAATTTAGAAGAGGTTATTGCCTTCCATTTTGGCAAAGTAGAAGCCTGCTCGAGCTCCTATAACCAAATCCCATCATTGGCTGAAGTTGTCGATAGCACAGTGGCGCTTGTAATTGTCGATGCTGGGAGAGTTTATGATGTTCACTTTACCAGGCTATCTAGATTTTCAATTGTAAAAATTAGTTTCGTCCCAACTTGTTTTGGAACCTGTTCTTATTGCTCTAGGTACCGAGCCAGTTTATCAACAATTTCTTTGCAAGATTTAGTTGGTCTTAGTTCTGTGAATTGAATGAGGTGCATAACATGTGGAGTGAATGGTGCTAAGATTAGAAATGCCACATTTAAGCTATGAACAACAACCAAATACCGTTTAACACAGGTAAGTTACAGTGACACATAAAACAAGCTCTTATTGATTGGGAATTAGGATTTGAGTATCTTCGTAAGTATAGTTGTGACCTAAACTCTAAGTTAGTTTGATACTAAAAGATTATAGGTCAGCTCTGTATTATTCTTCACATGATGGTGTCTAAGATTCATGCATTTTCCTATCAATTATGATGTGTTGATTTTGTGATGCCATTTTGTGAATTTTTAAGGATGTTTAAACTTCAGCAGTGGATTTCTTTGAAGATGATAGAGGTGTGCTTTTCTTTTCTTGCAGATGGCTATACTATCTCGACTTTATCCTTGTAAAGAATGTGCAGATCATTTTAAGGACGTTCTCAAGTAAGTCATACATTTTCTATTGTTTTCTTTCTGTTTTCCCCTTGGATTAAACCCTATTATCTGTGATTACTCCCATCAAAGTCAGGCCTTCTCACCAACTTCAGCAAGACTTTTTATCACTCATTCATTTCATTGGCTATACATTTTCCCTTGGTAACGAAAATAATGGAAACCTTCTGTAAAACTGGTCACTTGCTTTATATTGCTAACTATCTTTTTCATCATATTGTACTTTTTTTGTCTGAGATAGCAGATGTCCTTGAACAGTGATATCTATGCGACAAATGATAATTGAAAATGAGAAGGTTTATGCCATGTACATGTCGTTGTCATTTACTTTTTTGTATTGCTGTGGTTATCTACTCTTCCGTAACCAGTGAATCTGGAATCAAGATAATTTGCTTACGAAATTTGTATAGCCTTTAGCAGAACTTGGTGGCTCTTAATATTCCATTTAAATAAATTTCAGAGTCTTCATGGAAATGTTAGGACTTTTGTTTCCTCAAGAACCTAACACATGCAGGGTGCATAATAAATAACGGTTTGTCCTTCAATTTTATTGTGTTTTTTAGATAAAACAGTTGGGAAAAAAATTGTAACAGACACTGATAAGTATAATATGGTAAACTATGACCAAACATTAAAAGAGAGAGAGAAATGAAATAATGACACCATCGCTGCACACAGAAGACAAACTCTTTAGGTAAACCCTTATATTTTGAGCGTCTCAAAATTGTTTTGTGCATCCCAGAATGCCAAAAGAGCTTGTAAGATAGTAGCAACGTTTTTTCATAGGCAATCAGTTCACTTGCTATTTTCTGTAAAAGTGAATTACAGAGCGAGAGAATCACTAACATTTTCCTAATTATCACTTCTCTCTCTGATTTGATCGCCTAGAGCAAATCCCGTACATGCAGGATCTCAGGCTGAGTTCTCTCAATGGCTATGCCACGTGCACAATGTCGTGAACCGAAGGTTTCTCCTTTAACTAATTCCATCTCTTAGTTTGAATTATTGGCCGCTGCTAAATCCTTTATCGCCTTCATAAATATGATGGACACTCTACTTACTGCCCTGTTATTATTTTTCCGGCAGCCTCGGGAAGCTGACATTTCCATGCCAGAGAGTAAATGCGAGATGGGGTAAGCTGGACTGTAAGGATCGAGCATGTGATCTTCAGGGAACTCCAGATTTAAAGTGAAAAAGAAAAAAACAGTTACTTTGTGCATTGGCACCCTCATAAATGAAGGCATATAATTTATATTTGAAGGCGATAAAAATGTATTTTCCATTTAGCCCCCCTTCAAGAGCACGTTGTTGTGGCATTGGGTTATCTTTCGCAACTAGGGGAGAAATAACATTTTCTTATTATTCTCAGTGCTTGGTTTTGTGAATTGCTATGTTATGGGGTACGTTAGAGTGGTACAAAGTTATGAGCCCGTTTAATTCCAGAACTTCTATGTGATGTTGTCTCCCAGCCCAAGTGCTTTGTGTGAGTTTATACGATAGTAGCAGCAACCGAATTCTTATGAAGAGTAACCTCTTTGAAGTTTCCCATGACAAAGTTGGGAGTTCTGCTTGCTGGAATAAGACGATTAAACAGGTTTTCCGAGCGAGGAAATCTTCGGAATTTTGTAAGGTTTTAAAATGATGCTTATTTCACCGAACCAACTTTGGTTGGATTTTATCCCTCATACAAATATACTTTAACATATTTCTCGAACAAATAAGATTTTGTTTTGAATATGTATTTTTCTAGATCCACAGCATGAATTAAATATAATCCACGAACCACGCAAAATTTGTTGTTAAATTGTTAGAGATGGATTTTTTTAATGGCATCACTCATGGGCTGTTTGGTCAGCAAGGTCTATTCTAAGTGTTTGGTCGTCAGGCCCATTAACTTGGCCCATTAGGAATAGTTCCCAACTTCATAATTTAGGGTTTGTAGGGGGGACAGGACTATAAAAGCCTTAGCTTTCGCCGCCTTTAGAAATCTCTCCTAAATTTCTCGAGGATCAAAAGATTAATAAAGCGCCGCTGAGAGATCCTTGGAGAGAGAGAGAGAGAGAGAAAGAGATCAAAGATGGGACACGCTAACGTTTGGAACTCGCACCCCAAGAACTACGGCCCTGGATCTCGCGCTTGGTAACCTATCTCGATCCCTCAATCTTGATTTTGATAAAAAAATATCTCTAATTTTGTTGGGTTTGAGGTTGTTTAATCGCTGTATTATGTGGTTTGAGGTGATAAAAAGGCCATCTTGCATGCAAAATTTGTGCTGATCTAGGGTTTTGGTTGGGTTCAGCATTACCATCTTTTGCTTGGGACTAAATTTAACTCAAGTTCACCAATTTAGTTCGTAGATATAAGTCTAATCCCTTAGTACTAATTTGATTTATATAAAAAAAAGCTTACTAGGTGTCTTTGATAAACAATTCATGTGTTATGTTGATTGAAGAGGATGTCTGTTAGTTATTGCTTCTTACGTTAGGTTGCAATCTAGAAAAGAATGCCTAATATTTTCGGAGAGTTAAAGAAATTTCGATAACTTTTTTCTAGCTCTTAGATAGAGCCCCGCTTGCAGAAATTGATAATTACCTTATCAGAATGCTTGTTAAATTTGATCCTACCCTCAAGGATACTAGATTTGGTTATATTAATTTTCTATAACTTGCAATGGTGGTGTTCTTTTATTAAGCTGGTCATAGGGGCATGGACACAAGTGCCTTTGCGGTGTTTTTGTGCCTTTGGATTTTGGGTTTAATATGTTTTGTAATTTGCAGCCGAGTTTGTGGCAACCCTCATGCAATCATCCGCAAGTATGGGCTTATGTGCTGCAGACAGTGCTTCCGCAGCAACGCCAAGGAGATTGGGTTCATTAAGGTTATTTTTCTTACCGATGACTTGGCATTTTTATTCATGCTCATAGTTATTTGTTTCTTATGTACTTATGAGTTGTATCCCTGATATTTAGAGAGAGAGAATAGCATTTTGTTTATTTTGATACTTTTGCAGTTGTATCATGAATTTTTACTTAGTCAAAAAGAGCAATTCAGATTACTAAAACTGATCATTGCTTATATCGTTTTATACAAGTGGTTACATAGGCATAAATATTGGTTAAGTTACTTCTAATTTTAGTTGCCTATATTGAAATTTTTAGAAAAAAATAACAATGGGTCTGAAAATCAGAGCATTATAATCTTAACCCATGTAAAGATAACAACCTTGTGATTTAGCTGAATCCAACTTCAACTAATAGTCTTCTAAGATAATCAAAGCATACCGCATCCACAAATCAACCAAGCCATCTCTGCCCATAACCCCTTAGTTACTCATTTTCTTTTCCATGTGCCAAATCTATGTGTTGTATGCCCCCTTTGACCTGATTGAGTGGAACTTTAGCTGATGCCATCTCTGACTGAAAGTCTGTTAAGATGATTAAAGCATACCTAGTATATAAACCAATCAACCAAACTATCTCCGAGTATCAAATAGCCATATTCATGTAAATTTCCCCTTTTGACCTGATGGAGTGGAATTTTATTTTTTGTTACGTCATGCCAAACTTCTGCCAGCTATATTAGTTGATTGAAAAAAGCTAGCCATTGGTTGGGATGAACAAATGATATTATTCTGAAGCTTTTTGGCACATCCTATTCTTGACAAAACTAGAGTTGCATAGTACTTAATTTAACATATTCATTTTGCATTGGAAAATTTTCTGTTATTTGTACAGCAAGTGCTTAAATAGATAGCTTTGCTTTATCAGAAAGATCCACAAAAGTATAATTGGTTGCTGGAATAGATGGTTAGAATATATTCTTTGTTGCTTTTCATGTAGATTGCCCCCTTTGACCTGATGGAGTGGAATTTTATTTTTTGTTACGTGATGCCAAACTTCTACCGGCTATATTAGTTGATTGGAAGAAGCTAGCCGTTGGTTGGGATGAACAAATGATATTATTCTGAACCTTTTTGTCACATCCTATTCTTGACAAAACTAGAGTTGCGTAGTACTTAATTTAACATATTCATTTTGCATTGGAAAATATTTTGTTATTTGTACAGCAAGTGGTTGCAATAAATAGATAGCTTTGCTTCATCAGAAAGATCCACAAAAGTAAAATTGGTTGCTGGAATAGATGGTTAGAATATATTCTTCGTTGCTTTCCTCTCGTTTCAGCAGCTCAAAACTGCATTATCATTTGGTATGACAGTCCAAAGGATATGCCGTAGGGCTTGATTACTGGGATGCGGGAGGGAAGAGGAAAAGAATATGTTGTTACACTCAATCTATGTTACCCGGGTACTTCTATAATGAAGTCGTACTCGTACCGGACACGTACCCGACACTTTCCCGTACCCAAATTTCATGGACACTTCTTAAATATATGCATGCATTTATTACAACATGTACTCAATTATATGTGTTTATTTAAAACACTTGTCAAAGACTTCCTGGACGTAGAGCTTACACTTCACATCCGTCTTTTGAAAGTAATGAGATACGGGTCGGATTTGTTTCAGTCCATACCCAAGTTTAAAACTATATAGTTGTCGTTTAGATGTCTAGTAAAAAAATGAGTAGTTTACAATTCACGATAATCAATATGATAAAAGAAACTCAAAAATATGATCGGAATTTTAATTCTAATGACACATGAAGGGGAAAAAATTATCTTATGTACAGTATTAATTCAATATATATATGTAGTCATGTTCTCGTACCCTACATTTTACAGTTTTGCCGTGTCCCGCACCCACACTCGTACCAGTGCCCGTGCCCGTTTCCATGCAACTTAGCACTCAATTGTTAGAACCATGGATTGCGCTGTTGTGCTAACTTGATTAACTGCAAGGGGAATCATATTATGAGGGTGTTTGGGGTAGTTTTATTTTTTGGTCAAACTAGCTTTTAAGCTAGCTTTTTTATCTACTTGTTTGGTAAAATATCAAATAAATTAATTTATAAGCCCCATTTTAAAAAGCTGTTATACTCCGGCTTTTGAAAAACTAGCTTATGAGTTTATCTAAATAAGCAAAGGTTTGACCAAAGAAATTATTATTCTACCCAAACAATTTTTATAGCATTTTTATCATAAATGCGAAAAGCTAGTAAAAGCTAGCATAACTTATAAGCTTTTGAGAGTAAGCTCTTCCAAACACTCTGACTTTAGCTTGCAAGAGCACCCATCACTTGTTTCTCTCTTTTACACTTGTTTATCTCTTTAGTACAAGAACACTTATTTGCGCTTATAATAACTTGATTAGTACAAGCACCCATCACTTGTTCATCTCTCTAGTACAAGCACATTTATTTGGGTTTTAAGTTTTATACTAACGTGATCAGTGCATTGGAATTTGCACATTGGAAGAATATGTGTATGCTCATTGTAGCATTTGGTAATTTACATTATGTGTGTTTAATTTTGTATCATAATTCATACATCATAATATCCTCCTATTTTCTGTTTGGATTTTGAAACGAGAGATTAATACGTTCTCATACTCACATTTGGGTTCTCATTGGATTTCTCTGTTGTGATCTTTAGTTGAATGGAATTTCAAACTTTATGGTCTTTCTGTAGCTCAGTAGTTGAATGAGCATAATTAGTGCTTGATTTACTTAAGTGGATTTCAAACTGCACAACTAACATGGTAAATACCAGCACTGTGCCATTCGGATTTGTTGTCGCAAACCCTCTTTCTTTTATTTATTTATTTTTTTTGCTTAATTGCCTTCTCATTTTCAACTGATAAAGGCTGAATGAGTCAATGGGCAAATTAAAAAAAAAAAACTCTTCAGACTTTGTTGCATTTTGTGTTACTTTGTGCTTACACCTTACGCTTCATCTTACTTGTGTTTAATAAGATCCTGTATTTGTTGTCGTTGTTATTCTCAGTCTGCTAACCCTTTGTTTCCAATGTTTCCTGTACCAGTACCGCTGAATGATGTTTCTCGTCATGAGCGCGCTGTGTTCCATGTTGGTCTATGGAGGACACGGCTTGGCGTAGAAGTGAAGGGTTTTCCTAGTATTATTGTTTTTGTGGTGCTGGTCTTGTCTTTTTATTGAACCTCCTTCCCCTCAAATTAAAAACTTGTCACGTGCTTTTGACTTTTTTAAGTTTGTTATTTCTGGAAGATGACTGAACTGAATATATGCTAGGGTTTTAGAATTCATCTGTGCTTTGTTTTCTAATTGCCAGTATCATAATATTTATTATTCTTATATCATTGAAACTTCAAGTAATAGTTCAATTTGGTGCGTTTATTAGCCAGCCCTTTCACTCTTGTAATAAGGGCACGTTTGGATAATGAAAGTATTAGAAGTAAAAAGTAGGTTATAGAAGTAACTTTTAAAGCTATGAAGTAGTAAGTAGTGGAAATAATATTTTTTTTGTTTGTTTTATATATTTTTAGTAGTAATGGAAGTAGAACTTCCTCTAAAAAAAATTATTTATGTCATAATTAATATGCATTTTAACTACTTCCGAGCTACTTCTAAGTATTGAGGATTGGAAAAATATTTTGGAAGGATGACACGTAGGCGTCACATAAGCATTTAGGGAAGTATTGGAAGTAAGTTTTTTAGAGAATCAAATATATTTTTTTGTTTGGAAGTAGCAGAATTAACCTTTATTTCTTTTATTTTAGCTACTTCACAATTACTTCCGTGCAAACAAACGAGCTCTAAGGTACCCTTGTCATGTTTCTTGTTCGGTAGACCCTAAATTAACGCTGTTGCTGTCAATTTTGTCATTCCTTCTTGTGTTGGAATCCAGGACCATGTGACATCACAGGCCTCCTTCACTACTGAAACCACAATAATAAGTTATATATTCCCATTACGGCGGATCACCATCAATTCGATTGTCCATGCCTTACTAGAATTCACATTAGCAAAGTATGCGAAACTATCTAAGCTTTCCGCTTTTCCCCTTCGTTTGTTCATAATTATTAGATGAGAATTATTCTGTTATCCTTTGAATTCTTTTGAACTGGAGCGTGGAATTGGGGCAGATAGACGGGCAAGCCTGGGTCGCCTCGGAAGCTAATACTCTGCTCTCTACTAGTGAACTCTCTCTCTCTCTCTCTCTCTCTCTCTCTCTCTCTCTCTCTCTCTCTTTGTGTGTCTCTCTCTGAATAGGTGGTATCAGGAAGCTTAAAGAGGTGGTATTGAAATTACCCTAGAGGGGTGAATAGGGCACTATGCTAATCTAATCCGACTAAATGTCAATTTAAAACTTATTAACAATTTATTCTTACAAATATGATATACAACTAATAATCCGATTTAATGTCAATTTAAAACTTATTAACAATTTATTCTTGCAAATATGATATACAACTAATAATCCGATTTAATGCCAATTTAAAACTTATTAACAATTTATTCTTGTAAATATTATATACAACTAATTTTGAGCAAGAATATACAACAACGGGCGATATAAACATAAACTAAAAAACAAGTGAGATAGTGTGCAAATAATCAACATAAACACACAAAGATGATCATGGAGTTCGGTCCTTCCAATCTACGTCTGTGCTCCCCACACCCGGAGAGAATCCATTATCACAACGAGGTTTTAACGTTTACCCAAAATGTTTACACCTCACAATCGGTTTTCTAGCTCATCGAAAACTTTCACAATCTCACACACTTGCAATCACACTCTACACCCTCTAAGTGTTGGCCTAGCCCGTATTGCCTTCCTTAAGTGCTCAGATTTACAAACTCTCCCTAGGCTTTACTACCGACGCCACCCCTTTTGGAATCGATCCCGTCTCTCACCACACATTTCTCTCGGTGTACAAGTGTATTATAAAGTGTATCTCACAAATAAGCACAAATACAAATTATTTGTTCTCTACAATGGATGAGAACTCAATATAAACTCAACACTCTAAGTAACACTCAGCACAATCCAAATAATACAATGTATAAAATACTAAAAGCTCAATAGGTTGTGTGTGTAAATAAAGAGAAATCAAATATAAACTTAATTAAAGTCTAACTTATGGAAATAATAATCAAACATATAAATAGCTAGAGATTGATTTTAGAAAATTTCTCCAATGATAACAAGAGTGAAAGAGATGAGATGAAAGCTCATGATGATCTCTTCTTCCTTTTGTAAAAATCTCTTCACATAAACTTTTGTAAAACACACTTAAACAAACTTTAAACACTCTTTAAATTTGTTTAAAAACTCTCTTGGTAGTTGAAAATAGTTATGACAAAGGGGTATATATAGGGTAGAAGAAATCAGCCCAAGAAACCAACAAAAACCAATAAAAACATTAAAAAATACAAAATCTAGAAACTAGTCGTTACTGTACAAAGGCTCTATTGTCAGTCGACTTATGACATGCATGAGTCGACTGATGCTTGCATGGGTCGACTCATAGAATTATCAGTCAACATGGCAGACGAAAAACACAAACTGCTCAACACTTCATCAGTCGACTTGCCACTGTAGTGAGTCGACTGATGTCTGCATGGGTCGACTCATTGATTTTTCAGTCGACTCAGCAGATGAAAACACTAACTGTTCAACACATCATGAGCTGACTCAACACTGTAGCGAGTCGACTCAAAACATGCACATAGCCTGTTTTGAACAGTAAATATCAACTATAAAACATTTTAAAAATATCAAATAAATTCCAAAAAATGTAAAACTTGGAAAAATGTTGATAAACATAAAAATGAACATGTTACAAAAAAATGATCAAATTGTATTTCCCATTTGTCAAAATTCTTTATTTTGTAAAATAGTCCAAAACACGAAGTTTCAACAACACATGATTTTGACATAATGTTTTCAAACAAGTTTGAAACTTCTCTTAAGTGGATTAATAGACTTTATAAAAGATGTAAAATAGTATAATCAAGTCTTTAATCTATAGATACATTATTTTACAAACTTACAAAAGTATAAAAATGAAAAACATGATTTCATTGATTTGAATATGTCAAAGCTTAATTTTAATGAAATCATTTCAAACACGTATAAACATTAAACAAATATGCGTGCATATAACTATATCCATTTGTTTCATATTTATGTGGCTAAACTTGAAAGAAAATAAAATGAAAACGATGTGTGTGTATAAAATTGAGCTTGAAATATTTGCACACAAGTATAAACTCTTAATAACTAAAACACTATACACAAGCTAATGATCTCTCCTTGAAGCTCGATCATGGTTACGGATGAAGCTTGATCTTGAATCTTTGACTTGAATGTATTTGCTTCATTCCGGTATTCTGCCAACCTCCATTGAATGTCATCGTTAAGGCGCAATCTATCAACCTCCAACATCGATGTTTGTCTAGAATACCTAATAAACAAAACATAAATACTAGACAAACGATTTTAAGGATTGTTTGTAAATCATCAAAACAATATTAGACCTTAGGCTTATATACATGAAACCTAACAATCTCCCATTTTTTATGATGACAAACAATCTACACAAGAGATATATAAAATATGCATGAAACCAAATGATTATATAAATTATAATATTCATGCATAAAACCAATAGAATGAAATACTCACAATTCACTTGTTTCTCCCTCTTTGTCAACATCAAAATGAGGAAAACAATAATAAAAGGAAAAGAGCGAAAGCTCCCCCTATCACAAAGGCACGGTGAGTATAAAAATAAATAAAGGAAAAAAACTCCCCATATCAAAATGCCATATAGAATATATGCAATAATGAGTTAGGCAAATATATGTGAGCAAGCATAGATATAGAATATGCTAAACACAACCCACATAGAAAAAGACCAAGCGAACACATATATATGTATCATTAAGACAAAGTGTCACAAGGGTCTAAAACATAAATATATATCAATATATATATATATATATATGAAAATGGTGTCTCAATACACAAACATATATAAATTTATGAAATCAAAAGGAAGAACACCATGAGAATCATGAAAAATATTTTTAAATGAAAACAACTCATGAGAACCATGAGAATCATGACAATCATGAAATTTCAAATAACAATCAAATCGATCAAATAAAATCATAAATCAAAATCTAAACCATACTCACATAAAAACATGCTTAATCTAAAAATAATTATTTTGAAGAACAAGTGATCAAGCAACTAGTAATGTTAAAACATTTATATGTTTTATCCACAAAGACCGAAAAAATTATGCTTATGACAAAACAAATGAATATGAAAAATATCATTTTTGACAAGAAAAACATGATAAACAATCATGTCAAGCTCTTGGAGCTTGTTTCAACCCATATAGAAACTTTTAGCACCCGGTAAACATGATATGAAAAAAATAAGAAATCTGGGGGGTTGCTCAAACATAAACCTCAAAACTAATTTTTGAGAAACTAGAAAAAGTTTTAGGAAAGGAATCATACAAATGAAAATATTTCCTTAAAAAATATCAAAACTTTGTTTTTTTATAAAAAAAATCATCATTTAAAGAACATGAAAAACTAAAACTCAAAAAGTTTGTTCTTTAAGAACAAAAACATTTTAGTACCCAATCACTCTTGGTACCGAAGAGTTTAAGGACATTGTTGGTTTGGGTGTAGACCTGTGACACCCCTGGGTTCACACAAGGCTGCAGTCCAAGATAAAACCAAGAATGTCAAACCTGTCATGCACCACACCGTGCAATAACATGTTTCACCATCATAAGTACTATCTCTCTAGTAGAGTCAAATAATAGGTGTAGGTACAAAAGCAAGTAAAAGATAATACAAGAGTCAACTGATGAAATAATAAAGATCAAATTAATACTTCATCATCTAACATACTAAAGTACAAGTCAATGTTTGAAGTGAATAGACTGGAATTTCTCAACAAGTCTCAAATATAAATGTCTGAATAAAAGGAAATAAGACACACAACCTTTACAACTTCTAGAATAAACTCTAAAAATGTCTAAACAAATCCTACAGTGGAGCTCAAAAGTAAAATATAACTATAATAGAATAGATGAAGCTAAAGTGCCTCTCCATCAACCTGCGACTCTCCGGGCTCCGGGCTCGTTACCTGAAAGGGGGAGGGACAACGAGCGTCAAAGCGTTAGCGAGAAACATCACAACCAACCCTGTTTGTTGGAAAAATTGCAAAGAAGAGAACAAAGAAAATTGACTTGTATTCCTTTGATTCTGATTA